TCATGACCTGAGCCGAAGGCAGACGCTTAACGACTGAGCCACCCAGGCGCCCCCCCAAAAAAGATTTTAAAAATTAAAAAAAAGGAGTGCTGCCTCATAGAGGGCCCTCAGATTTGGGGGTGGTGTTTCTGGGGTGTTTGGGCACTCTGAGGTCCCGATCTTGCCCCAAGGATGATTCTAACAAGGCAATAACATCTGGTCTGGAGAATACCCACCGGGATGATAATCTTAAAGAGGGAAACTGAGCCCCAGGTTGAGATGTAGTGAGGTGACCTGGGGTGGCTGAGAGACCCCTAGACCCAACAGACACTCCAAAGGCATGGAAAGGAGTTGCCAAGGTTTGAGAAGCAGGTAGGTGTGTGTGTGTGTGTGTGTGTGTGTGAGAGAGAGAGAGAGAGAGAGAGAGAGAGAGAGATCCCTGCCCAAGACTCTCTGTTCTCCTTTCATCGACCCCCTCCTGTCAGTTTCCCCTGTTCCCCATTCCGCCTCAGCCTAGGGCCTGGAAGCCGGGCGAGCAGGATGATCCTTTGGAACGTGACACAGCGACCACGCTTAACATTGGGATTGACACTGGCGCCCCCTGGAGGCCAGTCTGAGGGCCAGCAGGGCCTCTGGGAGTTTGGGGATTCTGAGGGCAGCCGCTGAGACAGTAGAGCCCTCTTCCCTGCCAGACTTGTGGATTTTCAGATCCAGAGACCTCAGTTTAACTAACTGATTCCCAGGAAATACTGGGGGGCTGATACAGCACAGCTAACGCCAGAGCTGAGGCAGGCGGTGCCCACAGCTTCACAGTGATTCAGTCATATGGAAGCAGAAATTGGGGGATCCCCAGGTTGGGGAGCCTGGACCAAACCCCGCACCCCAACCTCATTCTTGACTTGCTCTGGCTACTGCAACCCATCCTCCCCCCAGCCCGGTTTGGTTTACACAAACCGTGTCTGAACACCATGTCCTCAGCTCCTTCTGGGTTCTCTGACTCTGGGGAGGCCAGCTTCAGCTCCTACTGACCTCTTCAGCCCCTACCTTGCTGCTGAATTGCTGTCAGCACTGACCTGTTCCCAGGCTGTGGGGTAACCAGTCCTAATTCCAGTCCTCACGGAGGGAGGGAAAGTTCAGAAGGGCTTTCCTAGGAGGTGGCAAGGACTGAGGAGAGACAGGCCCTTAGGAGTTCACCAGAGAGAAGGGCATCCTTCTGTCCTGTGTAGCATGAGTGCTGAGTTCTGGGCAGGGGCACAGATAGCATGGAAGTATGTTACAGGCCCAAAGAAGAGTTGGGTGAGAGATTTTCGTCACAGATGTCTTTAGTAAAAAACCACACCAGCAACTAGGACTGGCATTGGACTGGAATGAGGCAGAGGGACCAGGAGGTCAGGAGACACCCGGAGTGAAGACTGGACCAGAGTAAGCTGGAGGGCTGGAAGGTGGGCCATGTCCCTGCCGCCCTAACTTAGACTTGTGGGTTTTCTATCATCAGAGGATTGGCAACAACCTCCACACCCTCAAAGACAAATGTGCTAGTTTAAGCTCCCTCAGCCACATGAAGGAATATTGTTCAGCCATAAAAGGTGTCTACAGACCATTTGTAAAAATGTTATATTTTTCTTATACATCGCTGGCAAAAGTGTAAATTAAGGTAATCCCTACAGAGGGCAATTTGGCAACACTTCTCAAAACTGCAAATGCCCAGAGCCTTTGATCCAGCGGTTCCACTTGGAGCAGCTCATTTTAATGCATCTGACCACCTTGGAAAGGACCTCCATGTCCATCACTAGCAGCTTGTTGAATGAGTGGCAGTTCATCCATATCATGGAGTACTATACAGCGGTGAAAAAGAACAAAGCCTCCATATGTGGAGTCACAAAAATCTTTAAAACAGATTGGGGAAATAAAGCGAGGTGCTGAACAGTAAGTAATCTATGCTACCTTTGTGTAGAGAAAACATTTAGAAAGGATATTTACAGAGGTATTCCAGTATGCTTGTATGTTACAGAATAACTGTGGAAATATATATAATATATAATAAACTGGAAACAGGGAGATGCTGGAGAGTGGACTGGACAGTGGAAGGATACGTTTCATCCGATACCCGTCTTTTGAAGGCTGCATCCTATGGATGTTTTTCCTCCAACCCTGATGCCAAAGTGGAATTCCCCAAACTCCTGGAGCTGTTTTTGGGAGCTCAGGTGGGCTGCAAACCACCATTCCCGAAGGGCTGGCACTGGGGCTTGGGTCCCTTTCCTCTGCTCACTGGGTCTGGTGCAGCCCCTGCCCAGGTCTCCCCTCCTCTTGGTGCCCGTCCTCGCCGCAGTTACTGGACAGACCACTCCCTCCCGCCCTCCTTCCAGGACTTGGCTGCTGGGCAGCTCCTGGCGCCCAGAGAGCCTTCGCCCTTCCGTGAGCCACTTCCTCAGACCCTTAGCCTGCACGGCAGGTTCCGCAGGGCTCTCTCGGGCGGGTGGGTGTGGGCTGTCCTCCCAGCGCACCGCCTCGGCCACGCCCCCAGCCCGCCCTCCGTCAGTGCCCGCCCCCATCTCAGCGAGGGCGGGGCTGAGACGCTCCCGCCCCTCCCCTCCCGAGCCGCCAGGGCACAGATGTTACCTAGGGCCCAG